ATTAACTAGTATAGCAAAACATCAGTTAGTCAACTGTATCTTTCATTACCTATTATAGTACAACATCAGTTAGTCTACTGTATACATCATTACATATTATAGTACAACATCAGTTAGTCTACTGAATCTATCACTACAACCTATTATAGTAAAACATCAGTTAGTCTACTGTATCTATCATTACATATTAAAGTACAACATCAGTTAGTCTACTGTATACATCATTACATATTATAGTACAACATCAGTAAGTCTACTGTATACATCATTACATATTATAGTACAACATCAGTTAGTCTACCGTATCTATCATTGCATGTTATGTGTCAACATCATGTAGTCTACTGTATCTATCATTACCTATTATAGTAAAACATCATTTAGTCTACTGTATCTATCATTACCTATTATAGTACAACATCAGTTAGTCTACTGTATCTATCACTACAACCTATTATAGTAAAACATCATTTAGTCTACTGTATCTATCATTAACTAATATAGCAAAACATCAGTAAGTCTACTGTATCTATAATTAACTAGTATAGCAAAACATCAGTTAGTCAACTGTATCTTTCATTACCTATTATAGTACAACATCAGTTAGTCTACTGTATACATCATTACATATTATAGTACAACATCAGTTAGTCTACTGAATCTATCACTACAACCTATTATAGTAAAACATCAGTTAGTCTACTGTATCTATCATTACATATTAAAGTACAACATCAGTTAGTCTACTGTATACATCATTACATATTATAGTACAACATCAGTAAGTCTACTGTATACATCATTACATATTATAGTACAACATCAGTTAGTCTACCGTATCTATCATTGCATGTTATGTGTCAACATCATGTAGTCTACTGTATCTATCATTACCTATTATAGTAAAACATCATTTAGTCTACTGTATCTATCATTACCTATTATAGTACAACATCAGTTAGTCTACTGTATACATCATTACATATTATAGTACAACATCAGTTAGTCTACTGTATACATCATTACATATTATAGTACAACATAAGTTAGTCTACTGTATCTATCATTGCATGTTATGTGTCAACATCATGTAGTCTACTGTATCTATCATTACCTATTATAGTACAACATCAGTTAGTCAACTGTATATATCATTACCTATTATATTATAACATCAGTTAGTCTACTGTATCAATCACTACAACCTATTATAGTAAATCATCATTTAGTCTACTGTATCTATCACTACAACCTATTATAGTATAACATCAGTTAGTCTACTGTATCTATCATTAACTAATATAGTATAACATCAGTTAGTCTACTGTATCAATCATTAACTTATATAGCAAAACATCAGTTAGTCAACTGTATATATCATTACCTATTATAGTATAACATCAGTTGGTTTACTGTATCTATCATTACATATTATGTGTCAACATCAGTTAGTCAACTGTATCAATCATTACCTATTATGTGTCAACATCAGTTAGTCTACTGTATCTAGCATTACCTATTATAGTACAACATCAGTTAGTCTACTGTATCTATCACTACCACCTATTATAGTCAGTTAGTCTACTGTATCCATCATTACTTATTATAGTACAACATCAGTTAGTCTACTGTATCTATCATTACCTATTATGTGTCAACATCATGTAGTCTACTGTATCTATCCGTACCTTTTATAGTACAACATCGGTGAATATTCTGCGTTTATCAGAGTATTGTACATCAGTGATCAGTGTAATACAAAAACAATGTTAATATACACATATATAGTTTTATAATATGCTTCATTACTTTTAAATCTACTGTTTCTATTATAACATATATAATTTGCTATATGTGGTATACAATTGGTTTGTCTAATACACTTGCCCTTCCATAAGAAATTAAAATATCGGTTAGTCTGCAGCATACATGTATATGTTTCGATCTAAATATTTTTATAGACCATCCATAAAAAGGATTCATATGTAATGATGATCTCTACCTACGGTTAGAAGTACAGTGTATATATTCCATCATTTAAAATCCTGATAAATGAAGAAAGCTTTCACACAATGTAGTGATGAGTAGCACAGAAAAGACAATTTATAAATACAGTATCAAACAAAAATACGCTTACCAGATTTAATTTCAATAGACGATCCAAGATGAGAAAACAACATAAACCCCCTTCTGTTGCTAATAAAACTCGTCCTAAAAAATATTACAAGTGCTAGGTAGGCATACGACACGTGGTGAGCTGAGGTTGGAAATGTAGGTTTTGTGATGAGGTGATACAGCCAATCCAGATTGATCGTAGGCAATCTGCGCACGGTAAATCGTTGCAATCGCAACCTACTACAGTTGACTCAGCATAATTATTATAGTGACCAAGTATGTTATGTTGTAAGGGATGATACTGATTAACTCATCCACCTGGTTCTGTGAATTGGTTTATTTTGATTGATACATTTCGAAAACAAGTGCTGCGTGTTTTCGTATTGAAAAATTACATTAGTCTGGACTCTTAAAATGAAGTTTTGTTCGTGACCGTCAATTTTATTCATTTTTCACATTTGATAAGTTTTGATCAACGAAATTAGAATCATCTGTTATTTTGCGTTGGCTTCCTTTGTGGTCTTCAATGTTTAGACAAAAGAATATATAAATAAATCGATAGAGCAAAATAGCTTTCATGAGCATAACAATTTTGTTAATACATCTGACGAGCATGCAAACAAAAGAACTAGAGATGTTACAGGTCTTATAACTAGACCCGCCGATTTTAGTGAGACATACAAACGATGAATAATGCTGATCATTGGTTAAGAAACATTAAAATAAAATTTGCGTTATGTATATAAAAGGTGTATAAGAAAATGTTACTACATGACATTTTTTTATTTAACTGATTTTAAGTATTCGATTTCCTTGTCACTTCTAATCATACGTTTTAACTTTTTCAGTTATATAACATGTTGAACTACGATCATAGGAAGGCTATTTATTTACAATAAATTATAAATGTACCGATGACGTACAAACGTATGCATCAAATGTGATGTTTAAACTCACGGATAGTCTGTCTCTCTGTTAAGACTAACTGATCAAGGGGCATGACTGACTGCCGCAATGAGCACATAAGATAGTGTAAATAGAATCAACCCTAAAATATAATGGATTTCATCCAAACTTTACGCATTGGGTAAAGCCAAATGCTGTAACTGGGAAGAAATCTTTTATCCCGTACACATGATAGCATCCCGAACTTCAAAGAGCCGGTTACAGAGATTTACCGTTCAGAGATTGACCACAATCAGTCCGGATTGGCTGTGTTATAAGTGTGGTAAGCATTGGCTTTAACGATATTCTTCAAATAGCGTATAACATATGTGGTCGTTTATAGCATGTATTTATTTATATAAACTACGATTCATATGTGTCAACTGTTTCCACGTGTCAATGGGCCGTCTCAAGTTGTAAATCTGTTACGTTATTAGGTTATAGGCATCGTTCCCTTTTCGCTGCATTTTTCATGTGATTGGAAAAAAATTGAAATATATTTTTATTTCTTAAAATGTTTATTTTTTTCAAACTTTCTGTATCTGTTAGCACTTTTTTCGAATTTTAATATTAACATTATTTGCATGTTTTTGTGGTCTGTCGCTAAGGCGCTGTTTCATATACATATTGAAGATAATAACCAAGGTGTTTTCATTCACTTATGTGGATTAATAGTTCTGCTAAAAGTATTATATTTATTGGTAACTCTGAATAAAAGTATTTATGTTTATTGATAGCTCTGTTACGAAGCATTTGTATTTATTGATAGCTCTGTTACGAAGTATTTGTAGTTGTTGATAGCTCTGTTACGGAGTTTTTGTTTTCATTGATAGCTCTGTTAGGAGCATTTGTGTTCATTGATCGCTCTATTACGAAGTACTTGTTTTTATTGATCGCTCTGTTAGAAGTATTTTATATTATTGATAGCTCTGTTACGAAGTATTTTATATTATTGATAGCTCTGTTAGAAGTATTTATATTATTAATAGCTCTGTTAGAGGTAATTGTTTTTATTGATCGCTCTGTTAGAAATATTTTATATTATTGATCGCTCGGTTACGAAGTATTTTATATTATTGATCGCTCTATTACGAAGTATTTTATATTATTGATCGCTCTGTTAGAAGTATTTTAAATTATTCATCGCTCTGTTAGAGTATTTTATATTATTGATCGCTCTGTTAGAAGTATTTGTTTTTATTGATCGCTCTGTTAGAAGTATTTGTATTTATTGATAGCTCTATTACGAAGTATTTTATATTATTGATAGCTCTGTTACGAAGTATTTTATATTATTGATAGCTCTGTTAGAAGTATTTTACATTATTGATCGCTCTGTTAGAGTATTTTATATTATTGATCGCTCTGTTAGGAGTATTTTATATTATTGATTGCTCTGTTAGAAGTGTTTGTTTTTATTGATCGCTCTTTTAATATTGAGATTGAGTTTTCGGATTGCACACACATTTAAAAACATCCGGAGAAACATTTCAAAGTTTGTGTTTGTGATAAGGTAATTGAACAGATGTAACAATTTCGTAGTTAAGTATTCAAATATTCTAATTTAAAAGCGATGTAGATGTATTTTTTAGAATCATTACACTAAATTTCTACCAAGTACCTTTGACACTTTTGATCTGTTTCAACAATCTTTTATTTCATCATTTTAATCTGAATATTGGAGTAGCACATGGTCGAGATAATGATCTTGGATAGGCGATTTAATACGTGTTTTAACAGGACAGACTCTGTAGAGAAAACATTCATATAGAGTACTTACCAGGTGACTAAGGGCTTGTTGTTTCACCTGATATCACTGAAGGTAAAAAAAGACAAACTTCCACATCACAAATGATCTAAAATGTATGTAGCAAAAAAGATAGAAAAACGGAAAATGTTTTACAAAGCTATAAATATAACTTTGATACCAATTTGCCATACCGGTTAATTCCATGTAGCAGCAGGCTTTTAGCAGTTGGTTATCTTTCGTTTTTATTGGTTTGTTTGTTAAACCACCTTCTATTTGCTTGTTCCTGTCTACAGCTACTTCAGTAGTCATTTTGTATTTGTTTCCTGCTGGACATATTGCTGAATTTACGACACCCGAGGTTTATCATCGACGCCCCTTCTGTCCTTCACATGCCACTAACGGTCATTCAAATCGCACGGTATAAACATCTGCCAATACTGCCCCTCTGATATTAGAACTTCTGTCTTTATCAGCTACATGTACTGTCTAAGTCTGCTATTTTTATGACAATCCCTTCATTGAATGCTTCACTAGCGCGTCTATACCGTGGAAGAGATCAAAGCGCGTTCTGGCTGTTGCTTGGCTACATATGTATCTGTTGTTAAAGGAGAAAATCTGCCAAATGTTTGTTTTCCTTACTAACCTTTGAATTCTACTCCGTCAACTACTTGACTTGAATGAAATGCTCGTCATTAAGTGTTTATTTTAGGTTTCCCCCTCTCCTGGCTAGCGTGTAATATAGCATCTTCGTACCGTTTGTAGTTCCTGTTGGAATGCTTACAAAAGACAATACCTCTCCAGTGTCTCAATAAAAACAAACAAGAGAAGACTGAAGTGTTAGCATATTTCTCTGCGAGATCCTGAGGGTGACCATACAATTTGTCCATAGGCTTCATCAACCTTCATTTTTGAAAACCCTGTTTTATAAGTTTGTCCGTCAGCTGTCGACATCTTTCATGGAATTCGTGACATTTGGATAAAACTCTTGAGTACCAAATCAGCGACATGTAAACAACATAGGTAGGAGAAGCAGGGAGTTTGCTATCAAGAATGGGAAAGTTCACGATCGGAAAGCCGAAATCGTCCTGTATATGGTATAGCTAAGTAGACACTACTACACTTGTAGAACGTCTTTTTGACACATGTTGTCGGCAGTTCCTTATCTTTCTTTTCTGGAGACAATGTGATAATGTTCTACAACGACAATTCCTATTTTGATCTAGTTTGCTGCATTTTATTTACTAATTTAACTAGATATTTGTTACAAGCTGTACAGCTCGGCGAAAGAAATCGTAAGAGGTTATAGGAAAAAGAAAGCCTGTTGTTTATTGCCGCTTTAATCTTGTTGTTGCTGTTGTTGTGGACGCTTTGGTTTATTGTGTCGTGAAATAACACTGTGGTATAATTTATTGTATGTTGATGTTGTATGATGATTTGTATGTTTGTGCATATGCTTTCATGTTCCTGTGCATGCATCGATGGCTTGTTCACTGGTATGGGACATTGAAACTTAACGATAACAAGATAGATAACAAATTATATCTAAGATATCTTTAACCTTTATTCATAACAAACACCACTAAAACCCAATTGAAATTAAAAACAGACACCTTTTAATAGATTAAGTCGATTACAACATACTGAAGTATTATGGTAAAACCAACACAGAACTTAAGTGTGACACAATAAATGAACTAATTGATCTTTACTTCAAAGTACTTGTGAAGGTAAATCTCTGAATAACTAAATCAGCACAGCCTCGTGTGAAGGAACAATAAACGCAGTATCATATGAGGTAAAATTCGTGTACAAGCATCACAGAATCATAGGGTGTCAAGTTCTGGTAAACTAATCACAGTTCGTATCTTATGAGGTAAAGTATACTGTACAATAAGCCTAGTTTCGTGTAAAGCTATATATCAGTTAAACAAGTAGAGTATTGTAGCACCTAAATTAACGAGCGAATGAAGTATTATGTATCATAAACACGTTATCGTGTGTGGTAAAATCCGTGTGCAATAAGTATGGTACCGTTTGATGCAAAGTATATTTAACAATACGCACAGAAAGATAAGATGTTATATTGGCTTTACTTTTTAACCCAGCATGCCTCATTCAAGATGGCTGCCTCCAGTTATATCCAGGGCGAGGGTTCCTAGATTATGTTTACTGGGGTTTCTGAAATGGTGCTTACCTAGATGTGGTTATGAGATGCTAGTTGTCCAAGATTTTAGGATGTTTGGCAAAAAACGTTAGAACCAGATTTAATAGAGCTCTTACAATAAATGTTATTACATTATAGTGGATAATCACACATTCAGGATTTATCTCACAACAGCAACTTATTCGGAAAGTGAAAGGAGTGTAATCACGCAGGTTGAAAACAACGGATAGCTACATGTATGTAGAATTCATCTTTCGTTGACCGTGATTTTGGCTCCGCGATCTAGACGACACAGACACCTGCCTGTAGGTATGTGCTACAGGACATAGTGATGTGTGTATCTGTGTTTGTGTCGAGTGCCACGCATTGGTCACTGGCTAAGTCTCCGTTTCCCAAATAATATATATTGTTACTGGATCCTACAAAAGAAAAGAAAACAAAAGATATTAGGATAACAACTTGAAAAAAGTGTTTTTAATCACAGAAATGCATCTTTTCACAATACATGTCCTAATCACCTGGAAAAACTTAACAAAACTAGAGCAGACATAGGAGTTACATTTGCATGAACAACAAAACATTCAGCACACACTATTGGGGTTTCGATCCTGTACACAAGAGTATTGTCTCCGTACATCACACACTATTGGGGTTTCGATCCTGTACACAAGATAATTGTCTCCGTACATCACACACTATTGGGGTTTCGGTCTTGTACACAAGATAATTGTCTCCGTACAGCACACACTATTGGGGTTTCGATCCTGTACACAAGAGTATTGTCTCCGTACAGCACACACTATTGGAGTTTCGATCCTGTACACAAGAGTATTGTCTCCGTACAACACACACTATTGGGGTTTCGATCATGTACACAAGAGTATTGTCTCCATACAGCACACACTATTGGGGTTTCGATCTTGTATACAAGAGGATTGTCTCCGTACAGGTATATTTTTGAACGCTTACTTCTTTATTTATGACAACAGTATTTCATTGATTTCACACGTGACATTCTACTGACACTTTTAACTTAATCAATGAAATGATTAAACAGGATAGTTTTTACAAGTTGTTCTAACTGGAGAGCGGTTTGTTCATTTTACTTATCAGTAAACATTTGAGGGCGGTCTATTCGTCCAACGCTTGTAATGTTCGGGAAGCGGTCTGTTCGTTCAACACTACAGAGGATTGAGAGTTGACTGTTTGTTCAACAGCAGAGAGGATTGGAGAGTGGCCTATTCGTTTGACTCCACAGTAATACTTTGAGAAAGGTAAGTATACAGTTATAATTGGAAAGCGATTAATTCGTCTGGCAATAGTACAATTGGAGAGCGGTCTGTTCGTCGGACTAAACAGTAAAAAAGTTAGAGAGCAGTGTTCGTCTGATTAAACAGTAATAATTAATAATTTGGGAAGGTATGTTTTCATCAATCAATAAGTGGTCTGTTCGTCTACTATTGGTAATGATTGGAGAGCGGTCTGTACGTCCGACACTATCAGAAAATTGGAGAACGGTATGTACGTCCGACACTACCAATAATTGGAAAGCGGTCTGTACGTCCGACACTATCAATAATCGGAGAACGGCCTGTACGTCCGACACTACCAATAATTGGAGAACGGTCTGTACGTCCGACACTACCAATAATTGGAGAACGGTCTGTCCATCCGACACTACCAATAATTGGAGAACGGTCTGTACATCCGACACTACCAACAATTGGAGAACGGTCTGTACGTCCGACACTATCAATAATTGGAGAGTGGTCTGTGCGTCCGACACTACCAGTATTTAGAGAACGGTATGTACGTCCGACACTACCAATAATTGGAGAACGGTCTGTACGTCCGACACTACCAATAATCGGAGAACGGTCTGTACGTCCGACACTTTCAATAATTGGAGAACGGTCTGTACGTCCGACACTATCAATAATTTGAGAACGGTATGTACGTCCGACACTACCAATAATCGGAGAGCGGTCTGTACGTCCGACACAATCAATAATTGGAGAACGGTCTGTACGTCCGACACTATCAATAATTGAAGAACGGTCTGTACGTCGGACACTTTCAATAATTGGAGAGCGGTCTGTACGTCCGACACTACCAATAATTGGAGAACGGTCTGTACGTCCGACACTACCAATTAACTAGAGAGCGGTCTGTACGTCCGACACTACCAATAATTGGAGAACGGTCTGTACGTCCAACACTTCCAATAATCGGAGAGCGGTCTGTACGTCCGACACTTTCAATAATTGGAGAACGGTCTGTACGTCCGACACTATCAATAATTTCAGAACGGTATGTACGTCCGACACTACCAATAATCGGAGAGCGGTCTGTACGTCCGACACTATCAATTATTGGAGAACGGTCTGTACGTCCGACACTATCAATAATTGGAGAACGGTCTGCACGTCCGACACTATCAATAATTGGAGAACGGTCTGTACGTCGGACACTTTCAATAATTGGAGAGCGGTCTGTACGTCCGACATTATCAATAATTGGAGAACGGTCTGTACGCCGGACACTTTCAATAATTGGAGAGCGGTCTGTACGTTAGACACTAGCAATGAGTGGTCATTTCTTCTGACTAACAATAAAGTAATGATTCGAAAACGGTCAATTCGTCTGAAACTAATAATGATTTGAGAGCGGTTTGTTCGTTTGACACATGGAATGTGTAAGAATCTTCAAAACAACTAATTTAAATCTCAGCCGTAAGCACCCCTGATCCATACTAAATAAAGGACCAGACGTATTGTCGTATTTCTACAATTTTTACTTCATAATCATCGGTCACATACTTGTAGTTATATGATAGTGGTATATTAAACATTTTTATTAAATGTTAATTGGTAATAATTGGAACGCTGTCTAGTCGTCCGACTCATCTATTATAGTCGTAATGATTTGGAATCTGTCTGTTCGTCGTTGAGACTAACCTATTGGTAATTATTGAAAAAATATGTCTGTTTGTACAAGATTTTGACTCACCTGACATCAATGCTTGGATAGATGCTTCTCCTTCGATGGTGCTTGAATTGAAGAGGGAACCACCGGCTACTCCACAGAGCCCGGCTACTCCAAACCACGTGATTGGGTCCGAGACAGTTACAGTCCGGAGACAGAAGCCCCCGTACATCGCGTAGCCGGCGTCATATGGACAGGGGGCTGATTAAATATACAGTGTGCATTTTATTTAGCAAAACTTGACAAATCAGTGTTTTCAATACTTTCAGAAGTTTGGACAAATTGTTTTTTTAAATCTAAGGTGTGAAGCTATTAAATGAGCCCAATAGGATAACTGTCTATAGAATTCCGTTAAGCTTGTCAGATAGATGCACTCTAAAAAGAAAAAAATACACAAAAAAATAGCAAAATATTTTTAATAATTCATAAACCAAGAATTGACATTTAAAGAAACCCTGAATAAAAGCGTTCAGAAATAGCAAATTCCTGTTACCGGAATCTAGACCGGACATCAAGGCACATATCTTTGTATCTAAGACACCTACAGAATATTTTAAAAGAAAAACTTTATTAATTGTACATCAATAATGAAACAAGCTATTTCATCTTATAATATATATCACTCTTGTTAGCCCTGATGTTGGCGCGAGGGGGTCTTAATGTGGGAGGAAACCGGAGTATCTGAAGAAAACCCCAATGGTCGGGTAGGTAACTGTTCACGTCCGATCGCTGCTACTGTACAGAATGTGATATATACTGACTACATATATTACAGGCGTATGAAACCATAGGGTTGTCAATAATAAATGTTTAGAGGGTCCGTAGGAACGTATTATCCGGATAATGTCCTTGTTGCCCTGTTGCTATTCATCTTACTAACCGCATCGAGAAACTTTTCTGAACTTAAAACGAAAACCTGTAGGTTTCACCTATTTTATCATTTATCCTCAAGAAATCTAGCACCTTCATCCCAACCCCACCCTCACCGCTACCCCGTCCTCTCGATCTGTCACTGTAAAGATATTTGAATTGTTTTGGGTAATTTGAGTTGCCTTCCCTACGTCATTTGGAAAAGATTAGGAAGTAAGCCGTGGGTCTGTCGCCTGAGTGACTAGACAAAATGGGACTGTTTGAGAGTATGACAGTATTTGATCTGGATTCAAAAATTATTTATATTCAGTTAGAAAAATAAAAATACACAAAACCGCTGTCGATGGTTTTAAGGATTACTTAATTAGCAGTATCAAAAAGCAAAAAGCACATTTCGAGGAATTAAATTTAGTACAAATCCGTTATATGTTGTAGTAGTCGACCCTCGTACTGACAACCTACCGTATTTGATGACATAAAACTCGGCCCCTAGGCTGGAAACAGTTCCACTAATCGTGTCGAAGACGACTGGATATCCTCTACAGAAATTGGTGTACCGGTGAAACACGACCGACAAACACCCGGATTTCAGTTCCCCACAGAGCATTACACAGTCCTCTAGAGAAGTACATGGCACCGTGAATGCATTGGTCTGGGCAAACAGTACGTCATCTAGGGTAGGGACCCGCCGCGCCACGTAACTCTGGCCATATGTACCCACTAAAACAGATAGAATATGCATTATTATGTCATTGTGACTTGAAGAAATTGTACAACTTAGTATATTTAACAATTATGGACTTTTGTTGACTGGAATGTGTTGTTATATGAACATGAGGAAGCGATATCCGAGACGAAAGTCGATACTCCAGAGCTTACTCTCACTTTCGCTCTCTGCATCTTGTTATATGTCATATAAACAAAATCAAAGGCCCAGTGTGAGCCATATTGTGGATGGGACAATAAGACTAGTTTGATCCTTTGATGTACATCAAAAAAATCTTGAAAGCGATCGCGAAACGGTAAAATCAATTGACTCTCCAGTCGGGTGTCACTCCTCTCCGCCGTATTCCTCAAAGGAAAAGTATCAGCCTAGTGATTGGTCAGGTTTCAATTTATTTTGAACCCCTTGACATATTCCAGGGGTGAAGAGAGCGTAAGTGAGCGACACTCCTGGAGTGTCGAGGATGTGTAGCCACATACAAGTCAATCAATCTTGTATTCTTTAATTTCTATATTAGTAGCTAAATATTGTTTTGATAATTTAGTAAGGTGGAAACCATGAAAAAAATGCACAAAGAAAAGTAGTGCATTTGACAGAGAGTATTGTGACGTTACAATCAAATTACTTCATAAGGTGAATATTAACCCGCTGTTTCTAAATAGACACCGAGTCAATATCACCAAATTACCAGTCAGTAGTACATGCCATACCGCGTTAATGTATAGTTCAGTTTATATCATATTGCGTCGACAAGTAAGTAACTTAGTATTTTGTACTTAAAAAACTTTGATACGTAAACTACACAAATTTAGGATAGAAATGTATACTCCTAACAAAAAGTTGATAATTTGAAAACCAGCCGCTCCAAAATATATTTAATTAACTGAGGAAGCACTTATTTAAAACAAATTGGCTCATATCATTAAATTTCCAATATTTATGTAAACAAGAGATCCCAAAGGGATATTGGCGCCCATCATTGTACCATCTTCATTAGTTCTTTGTCAGTTCGATCTTTTCTCTTCTTTCCTCTAATCTGTTTGATCGAGTCATGTTAACAGTAAATGCACCTTGAGGTAACTTTTGATCTAAACTTAATACTGATGTGTATGAAAGCCAACCTTCAAAGTGAGTTTGTCATTTCACTTATTTACTAGTACAGTACTTAATGTGAAAGGAATAGAATCGATCATTGCAATATGAGAAAGATTTGTTTAGTTCTTCCTAAAGTCATTTTGTTTTTATGATCAGTCTCAAAATGTAACATGCACAACGAGGGATCAAGGGGAACATACATATCAAATTTGAGAAAGATCCCTCAAGTTATTCCTGAGAAATAGTACTAACAAACCTTCAATGTCAAAAATCGAAGATGGCTGTCGGTAGGCCATTTTGTTTAACTGATCAGTTTCAAAAGTAAACATGAACAATAAAGGATAGTGGGGAACCTGCATTGGCTGGCCCAAAATATTTTTTTGGGACGAGTAAAAAATTTGAATCACTGACCCAAATGACATATTGGTGGCCCAAATGACATATTGGTGGCCCAAATAATTTTGGGAATAAATCTGTCCACAGCATTTAACACACTGATTCAGCACATTTAAATTACATATAACATGACAATGTTTGTAATATGTAAAACAGAATAAAACATTATATTTTTAATTCTTCAACCCTAGCTAAACCTGACATGTTTCCCAAAGAAATACACAAAACTCGCACCTCAAAAAGGACACCCTGGCCGTATTTATATAGAAAATCTGAAAAAAAACATCACATTTTCTAAATCACGGACAGTTCTTTTTAAATGGAAGTAATGACAACTGAAAAATGTGGAAGGGACTATAATTTCTTTTATTCATAAATTTTTCACGAACTGTTATTGTTGGGCGAGTGACTACCTCACTTTTGACAACTTTTGGTCGCCCGAGCAAGACTTTAAACGTCATAGGCGAGCGGGAGACCGTCCATTTCAGGCACTGCAGTGCACAACAAGGTAACAAGGGGAACCTACATATAAAATTTGAGAAAGATCCCTCCAGTACTTCCTGAAAAATATCGATAACAAACTTTCAATATCAAAATTCAAGATGGCTGCCTGTCGGCCATGTTGTTTATCTGATCAGTCTGAAAAGTTGCCCTGCACAGCTTAGGACCAAGGGAAACCTACATATAAAATTTAAGAAAGGTCCCTCTGGTACTTCCGGAGAAATAGTGGTAACAAACTTTCACTATCAAATACAAGATGGCTGCCTGGCGGCCATGTTGTTAATCCGATCAGTCTCAAAACTTGCCCTGCACAACAAGGGACTAAGAGGAACCTACATATAAAAATTGAGAAATATCCCTAACGTACTTCCCGAGAAATAGCGATAACAAACGTTCTCTATCAAAATCCAAGATGGCTGCCTGTCGGCCATGTTGTTTATCTGATCAGTCTCAAAAGTTTCCCTGCATAGCTAAGGACCACGGGAAACCTACATATAAAATTTAAGAAAGGTCCCTCTGGTACTTCCGGAGAAATAGCGGTAACAAAACTTCACTATCAAAATCCAAGATGGCTGCCTGCCGGCCATGTTGTTTATCCGATCAGTCTCAAAAGTTGCCCTGCACAGCTAAGGACCAAGGGGAACCTACATATAAAATTTGAGAAAGATCCCTCTGGTACTCTTGAGAAATACCGATAAAAAGAATTGTTTAAGGACGGACCACGGACGGACGGACCACGGACGCAGGGTGATTTAAATAGCCCACCATCATCTCTAATAAACAACAATGACAATAATTTGTTCACAAAACATTTGAGCACAAACTGTTGTACTGAATGACTGAATAGTCAATATTGGTGGAACAATGTCATGGTTTCCATTTTAACGAGAGTGTCATCTTGCTGCTAACGTCAGTCGAAAACCGTTTGGGAGAGTCCACAAAAGATTGCATTTGCAGTCCTGTCATGATTGATCACGGATGACGGCGAGAAGAACAGTTCAAATAGAAACAACATTTTGCACTAGTAGGTTTGCACATATCAGCTTCTATAACAAAAATGTTACTATACACTTATAACAACTACGGGGACGGATATATCGACTGGTTCTCCTCACCAACGATAAAATGTTACTTTACACTTATAACCACTACGGGGACGGATATGTTGAATGGTTCTCCTCACCAACGATAAAATGTTACTTTACACTTATAACAACTATACGGGGACGGATATATCGACTGATTCTCCTCCCCAACGATAGCCAGCACTATGTACATTAGCACAGTCACACCTGTGAGTGTATCATTATATTAGTCTCACTTTCAGTCCCGGCTTTCAGTAATGTTGACCGACCTGATTCAAAGTTTGCACGTAATACTTACCTTCCGGTCCATCCTATTTGGCTAACAGGAGTTTGTCTGATGTTGACCGAGTTTATGAAAACTGTGAATGTGTCCGCAGGACGGTGTTTATATGAGAGGCATTGTAACACGTTGAAAATCCATACACGTAAAGCTTTGTTCTTCGTATAAACTTTGTTCTTGGATATAACCGAACAGCACGCAAGACTTGGAATGTCGCGCAGTAATATGTCGAGCGCTCGAGATATTTGAAATATATCTTTAATTAAAGAAAATATTTAATATAATTATCTTCGGTTGCATTAACCTGATTAGGCTCAGAAACGTTAACTCACGCTGTGTATCCAAGCACTGTGTTTAAAGTAGTCTTCGTTGTCACTAAATGTATCGCTTTGTTACTATGCTTTATACGATATCCATTTTAAATTAAACACAAAAACACATGTTTTTTCTTCTTTTTTGGCAAAAATCACCGTTTTAGAAGACGTATTCAAACATGGCTTCAGTAGTAGTAAGGCCATCAACTACATATGTATGATGACTTTTTGTATATTTTTCAACTAATGAGGTGCGACACTATTATTTATCTAAGTTTCTCAGGTTAAGATTTGTTACTGTCCTAACTTCGGCTTGCACCTCGAATGGCGACTGAGATTATATAATCTCGCTTATTTGTGAGTGATAGATTGTGTTAATCCTGCAAACACAGGAATGAGAGAGTCAACATTGTCTTTCTACGGTTCAGGAGGGGAACATTCCACATATCATTGAACTACTGAACTTCAACGTTTGATAAACCATCCAACAACAACAATAGCATCTGTATTACAATGTATCCAAACCAGACCGACGACAACGCCGACTCAATAAGAACGGACGTGAATAGTGGTTTTCTGTAAGGATAAGCAATATAACCCTCTACTAACCCATCATTGTAATGTAGGATCTGATAACTCGAATCTCACAATATCTGGAACGACAAGTGAAATAAACATCTAACTAACACATCATTGTAATGTAGGATCTGATAACTCAAATCACACAATATCTGGAACGACAAGTGAAATAAACATCTAACTAACCCATCATTGTAATGTAGGATCTGATAACACAAATCCCACAATATTTGGAACGACAAGTGAAATAAGTATCTAACTAACACATTATTGTAATGTAGGATCTGATAACTCAAATCACACAATATCTGGAACGACAAGTGAAATAAACATCTAACTAACCCATCATTGTAATGTAGGATCTGATAACTCAAATCACACAATATTTGGAACGACAAGTGAAATAAGTATCTAACTAACACATTATTGTTATGTAGGATCTGATAACTCGAATCTCACACTATCTGGAACGACAAGTGAAATAAACATCTAACTAACACATTATTGTTATGTAGGATCTCATAACTCCAATCACACAATATCTGGAACGACCAGTGAAATAAACATCTAACTAACACATTATTGTTATGTAGAATCTGATATCTCGAGTGTCTCAATATCTGGAACAATAAGTGAAGTAAATCGAATAGGAACATACCATTGTAATGTAAAAGCTGATGTCTCTAATGTTCAGTTTATGTCGAATTGTCTTTCATGTTCTCGATTATTAAGGGGCTATGGAATTCGATTGACATACATGTATTTGTAATAATTTTTCTTACCGCACAAGACTCCAAATATCACGATAGAAATGACGGTTAGGTCTATTGTGGGACGATACACTTTCACCATTTCCCCTGGTCTCCAAGTGAGCGAGAGGACTACCACTTTCCCTTCTGGTCCCACCGTGGGCGAGAGGACCTACACTATATCTCCTTGTCTCCTAGTGGGCTAGGGGACCACCAGTATCTCTCGTGGTCTCACTGATGTGTCGACGAGGGAACTTCTCTCTCCTGGTCTCACAGATCAGTCGGCGAGGGGACCTACACTATCTTTCCTGGTCTCACAGTGGGTGAGGGGACCACCAGTATCTCTCCTGGTCTCACAGTCGGTGAGAGGACCACCAGTATCTCTCCTGGTCTCCTAGTGGGCGAGGGGTACAACCCGTATCTTTCGAGGTCTCACTATCTCTCGTGACCTCACTGATGTGTCGACGAGGGAACTTCTCTCTCGTGGTCTCACAAATCAGTCGGCAATGAAACATTGAACATGGCGACAGATCCTTCCTTAGAACGATGAGTTAGAGATCACTTAACATGGTGTCGCTAATATTAAAGGATGTCCGGTCATGGGTACTTTATTTACATTTACTTCAGCTGTTTTAACTGTTAACATAAATTAATCGATTTGATAGTGTTAGATATCAAGAGTAAAACCTGCAGTTATTGCTAAAATGGGTAAGCCAATGAAAGTCAACATCCTGTGGCCTTTTAATGTTCATGACATACCTGTAATTCAAACACACTCCTAAACTTCATCAAGTTCATCTCCTATCAAACGTTATATATGTTTAACCTGTCAGTCCTATTTAATATTTTATTGATCGCCCTATCTAGCTAGAATAAACCACTCTAAAGCAATTTACAGTACATTTGTACATTAATCAATACAATTTTTGAGGAACTAACTACTAGTCTTATGCCACCTGGCTAATATCTCCCTATGTGTGTTTGCGTATTTGCTGGAGATGTTTTGTGTACTTTTTGTAATGGGCCCGTGCTCCTAACGGTATCATTTATAGTGCCACCTCACTTGAATGCTACAGCACAGATACCGCAACATCCACTCAAGACCATTTTATACTCCACCTGAGTTTTAGGAGTTGTGTAGGCAGGAGAAAAACACTTTCTCTGAATATTCCATGCGTACGACGACTTCGGGGATCGAACCCCGGTCGCCTGCATGGAAGGCCGGAGTGTTAACCACTTTATCAATCCACCGAATGTCTGAATGTAACAGCATACACTTACACACTGTAATATATCGTTTATGCTACATCTGGATAATGGTAAAAGGCCGAACTACATGTAACAAGTGTTCGTGACATAGAATTTCTGATTTTTTTTTCTTTATCTTTTTATCGACACATTCCTAATATACATATTTAGAACGGTGATTAAATGGAAGTGATTATACACGTGTCAGATAAAGCATCGCTATAACATCATAATATTTGAGTACTTAATGACGGAAGAGCTACATGTGTCACATCCCCTTATCGTAAAGATATATTAGTGGTACGATCATAACGGATGGTATGATTATCACAATCTGCACGCCAATCGTCAGCTTTGAAGTTTTCTATGGTATGATGCTATAGGTATTACGGTAAAATCCCGTCCGTAACGTCTGCTAACGGGAGAGTACTCATATTCTGTCCTTTCTAAAACACACATTGTACATATTGAAGATTGCTGTACACATCATGTCTCATAAGTTGGGGATGGCTCAACACTAAGTTGAACGATAAGTCGAGACATTTTGTCTTAATGAGATCGTGAACTTTCCATTTCTTGATAGTAGCATTCCTGTTGAAAAACCTATGGTGTTTATATGTCGCAGTTGAATTATTACTCAAGAGCTTGCTCCGAGTATCATTACTTCTGTGATAGATGTCGACTGCTGACGGACAAATTTACAACACAGGGTTTCCTTGGTCGCCATTAGGATCTCGCATATGCTATTTCTTTATGTGATATGAAGTCGATGTTTTTCATTATTCTCATATTAATGCCTTATGGTTTTGTTGTCACTACCCGAGTTCTCGATGTGAGGACGTAACACTACTTGGATTCGACTTAGATTTACATGGTTGGTACAAAAAGCGCTTACCCTTTCGGAACACCTGATCTAAGTCGCCTTGTACTTCTTACCTTTGTTATTTAATCGTTTTGAGTTCAAATTATGGTTTTGTTGACACTTCTGTATTCTCTTGTTGTTTTTTACCTATGTGAAATGAACGCAATGTTTTGTGGAACATGTTTTTTTAATTTAATTTGAGGACTTGTTTGCTTTCCTTGATCAAAAAGTTTGACGTAAGACAGAATCAAAACACGTTATCACTTACCGTATTTGACGCCGCGAAATGTTTAAGAAAATGTAAAACAGTTGTGTCAAAAAACTTTTAAAAACAAACCTGAAACTATATTCTGAGAACTGTCTGTGTAATTATGGCTGGAACATTTGATTTTTTACATACGACTACATAATGAAATGTGATAGATTTGTCGTTTCAAGTCGCTTTACAGAATGTCCAATATATTCACAAAATATCTTGTATTACTAGAACATTTGATTGGCTAACTAATTCGATGGGTCCTTCATATATCACAATGGTAATCCACTACTCCAGCTAGTGCTGAGGAAGACAATTGTAGTCGGTGCTGAGGAAGAGCGTTGTAGTGAGTGCTGAGGAAGAGCGTTGTAGTGAGTGCTGAGAAAGAGCGTTGTGGTGAGTGCTGATGAAGACTATTGTAGTGAGTGCTGAGGAAGGGCGTTGTAGTGAGTGCTGAGGAAGAGCGTTGTGGTGAGTGCTGATGAAGACTATTGTAGTGAGTGCTGAGGAAGGGCGTTGTAGTGAGTGCTGAGGAAGAGCGTTAACGTTGTGGTGAGTGCTGAGGAAGACCATTGTAGTGAGTGCTGAGGAAGGGCGTTGTAGTGAGTGCTGAGGAAGAGCGTTGTAGTGAGTGCTGAGGAAGAGCGTTGTAGTGAGTGCTGTGGAAGAGCGTCGTAGTGAGTGCTGAGGAAGACCAATGTAGTGGGTGCTGAGGAAGGGCGTTGTAGTGAGTGCTGAGGAAGAGCGTTGTAGTGAGTACTGAGGAAGAGCGTTGTAGTGAGTGCTGAGGAAGACCATTGTAGTGAGTGCTGAGGAAGAGCGTTGTAGTGAGTACTGAGGAAGAGCGTTGTAGTGAGTGCTGAGGAAGGGCGTTGTAGTGAGTGCTTAGAAAGGGCGTTGTAGTAAGTGCTGAGGAAGGGCGTTGTAGTGAGTGTTGAGGAAGGGCGTTGTAATGAGTGCTGAGGAAGAGCGTTGTAGTGCGTGCTGAGGAAGAGCGTTGTAGTGAGTGTTGTGGAAGAGCGTCGTAGTGAGTGCTGAGGAAGACCAATGTAGTGCGTGCTGAGGAAGAGCGTTGTAGTGCGTGCTGAGGAAGAGCGTTGTAGTGAGTGTTGTGGAAGAGCGTCGTAGTGAGTGCTGAGGAAGACCAATGTAGTGCGTGCTGAGGAAGAGCGTTGTAGTGCGTGCTGAGGAAGAGCGTTGTAGTGAGTGTTGTGGAAGAGCGTCGTAGTGAGTGCTGAGGAAGACCAATGTAGTGCGTGCTGAGGAAGAGCGTTGTAGTGCGTGCTGAGGAAGAGCGTTGTAGTGAGTGTTGTGGAAGAGCGTCGTAGTGAGTGCTGAGGAAGACCAATGTAGTGGGTGCTGAGGAAGGGCGTCGTAGTGAGTGCTGAGGAAGAGCGTTGTAGTGAGTGCTGAGGAAGGGCGTTGTAGTGAGTGCTGGGGAAGGGCGTTGTAGTGAGTGCCGAGGAAGGGTGTTGTAGTGGGTGTTGAGGAAGGGCGTTGTAATAAGTGTTGAGGAAGGGCGTTGTAATGAGTGCTAAGGAAGGGCGTTGTAATGAGTGCTGAGGAAGGGCGTTGTAGTGGGTGCTGAGGAAGGGCGTTGTAATGAGTGCTGAGGAAGGGCGTTGTAGTGAGTGCTGAGGAAGAGCGTTGTAGTGGGTGTTGAGGAAGGGCGTTGTAATGAGTGTTGAGGAAGGGCGTTGTAATGAGTGCTAAGGAAGGGCGTTGTAATGAGTGCTGAGGAAGAGCGTTGTAGTGGGTGCTGAGGAAGGGCGTTGTAGTGAGTGCTGAGGAAGGGCGTTGTTATGAGTGCTGAGGAAGGGCGTTGTAGTGGGTGCTGAGGAAGAGCGTTGTAGTGGGTGCTGAGGAAGAGCGTTGTAGTGAGTGCTGAGGAAGGGCGTTGTAGTGAGTGCTGGGGAAGGGCGTTGTAGTGAGTGTCGAGGAAGGGTGTTGTAGTGAGTGCTAAGGAAGGGCGTTGTAGTGAGTGCTAAGGAAGGGCGTTGTAGTGACATAACAATTCTCAGGTGGTCAAATCGTTTTGTCACACGATAATGAGGGAATCAATTGTTTTATTATTACGAATAAAGATAAGAATTATGATTAGGCACGACTACCTGGTATACTAGGAGATAAAGTAAAAAGACAACGTTATTTAATAACAAACATTTATTAAATCAACTAATGTAAACAAGAAACATGTGCACATTGTCCACAGTATCACATTTCATCATCTATTTGTAATAATTGTTGATATTGATGGTGACGGAACAGCCACTTTCAAATTTAGGTATAAAATTCATCGCACTCATCTCTGACAGCTTGTTAAATGAATTACTACATGCAGTAGAGTGAATGTTTGCAGATTGCACGTTTGTAGACTGTGCGACTGTCACATATGCCGATGCCGGTTCCAGGTCAAAGGGCTGCGCGAGTATGTCCATAAGTTCCTGCTCAACATAAGCATTGACTGAATCATCAGATTCAACTACAGCTCCTGTAGCTTCTTTTGTATGCCTTGGAGCAACACTTACAGTTTCTGTTCGTGCACGCTTAGCTGGCTTATCAATTGCACAAGTCAAGCTACCCGACAGAACACTTGAAATCTCCCGTTTCTAGTGGTCATTGTGAGAATAAGATTTAATGGATGACTCGGATGCATGACCTGACACTTTCATAATATGCCTAGTATCTATGATCTATGACTGTAATGCTGGTTGTCGTGTTCAAGTTTTGTTGTGTC